TAATACCAAATGTGTACAACCCTGTGTACGATGCATCCAAGACCAGCAGATGTACTGCGCGGCGTAAGCCACAGCGAGCTGACCAGCATGAGAGCAGTGGAGCCGGGCCAACTTTGCCTTCAGCAGACTATTTGAAATGGCTATCCCATTGTCCACAAATTATGCATCCGTCTACCACGATCTAACCTTGTCAAACGATTTGAGTGAGGTCTGCCAAAACAACCAAATTAAAAAATCACCACTAAGCCAGGTGCAGACTTTTAGTGCGCCGCTGCTATCGGTTTCTTTAATGTCCCCAAGCTGAGAGCGGTCCAGCAATTCCAGTTTTCTCGCTTTCCACAATTGTGAACAGAAATTCGCAACAACATGGGCATATGTGCCCTTCAGAGCTTTTCTCGGATCTGCAGGCGTCTCTCGCCCTGAACAGACTGCTCGCGATTGCTGCAGCCTGCGTGATTTGTTCTCCTCAAACAAAGCCTGTCAATAGGTACAAATTGATTGAAAGTCTTTCAAATTTATCGTCGATCTGACTGAACGAGAACGCGTGCTTATATTAAGCACCCTTTAGTTGCGGATTTTCTGATGGAATCTTGCACTCTGATTGGTCGAGAATTGTTGTGCCCTTTTGTGGCGGAATGCCAGCACTAGTGGTGCACTTTGATTGACTGACAATGCTTCCATGAAAAATGACGCCCTAATGTGCTTCTAGTATATTTTTTACAAGGATTTATGATACTTCTCTCCTCCGAAATTAAAGGTGAATTGGCTCACTTGATGAAACCGGACTATTTGAAATAGAATGATTTACCCAACCATTTAGAAAATTACAACCATCAAAAATTTTTCCCAGTGCATTTGACTACATTCTGATCTTCATATTCACATGTTTTAGAAACATCGAAATTATGATACCGGGATAAGTAACCGAAGATACCTAAATTGCTGTCAGGGATATGAACAAAATAAAAGTTGACGGATAACAGACGATCTGCTCAACATCTGTAAGAGACGATCTGATTACAGGCATCAAAAAAAGTTTCCAATGCTTTTGACTCAAATTTGATCTTCGAATTCACATGTATTAGAGGCCTCGAAGGTAGGATACGGGATAAACAATTGAAGATACCTAATTTGCTGTCACGTATATGAGTGAAATTAAAATTGATCGGAAATAAGCATTCTTTGCTCAACTTGTCAGCCGGGACTGGTGGGCTTTAGTACCCCGATTTATTTCGAGTGCAAAAAATTTCGCTTTAAGATCGGTTTGCACTTCAACACTGTGGCCGAGTAAATAAATGTAAAAAAAAACACGAGACCAAATAATTGCTGGTAATTCTAGCTCATTTCTTCTATATTGTTACCTTTAATCATTCAAAAAATGTAAAGCAAATGCAATCCAATCCACATTTCATTCTCGATTTCTTGTTTTAAAGCTGCCCCCAAATCACTATGAATGGCATTGCTTGAGATTGATCTTAAGGATGCATTTTTATAATGTCCTCAATTAGTCCTAGAACCTTTTTAAAAGCTAGCTGTTGTAAGTCTTCCAAACTAAAGTTTTGCTTGTTACTGAACTTCAGTGACTGGCGTAATTGATCTGAATGGACTTGCAATTCCGGTAATATTTTGTAAGAAGAACGAACATGACCATAAACGACATGAGTTTTTTTGCGCGTTTTTGGAGGAACTAGAGCCAGAACTGCTTCTGTCTTTAATTGTTTCGGGGGAATTCTTTTCGTTTTTATTACAAAACCTAAACAAGGATAATTCGTATTTAGCTAATTTAAGTGCAAAAGTTCTCACCCGATAGCCGATTTAAGACGTTTTCTTCTAAACGATTGTGATCTTCCATCGATCCTCTAAAGAGAATAAGCATGTCGTCAAGGAAACAAGATACTCCAGAAAACCCTTGCAGCGTATTTTTCATTACCTTCTAAACTCTGTGGGCATGTCTCTTTAATCATAGAACTCAGTTTTGAATCTGTTGTGATTATCATCTGTTCACGGCAAATGATATTGAAACTGCAATGACTAATAACTTGTTGGCTCATTTTGATTTGCCAAAATGCATATTTAGCTCCAAAGAGATAAAAACATTTTTCTCCAGCAGATTGTCAAGCAACTGGGACAAAACAACTCAAAACAATTAGGCAATTGGTACTCATTTTTATCATTTTCTTTGTTCATTGGCTAAGTAATCATAGCCAGTTTCACCGAGCCGTAATTCCTTGCTGTTTCTTCTTTGAATCAAAAAAGTGATCACTTGTGTGTTTATTCAGTTGTACGATATGCCCCTCACGGATGAGTTTTCAATCTCCTCCTCCACTTTAGCTTGGATATGAACCGGAACTTGATGGTCCTCTTCCTATTTTAGAATCAACGGAGAACTTATGTTGAAATTACTTCACGATTTTTGGCGCGGACAAGTTTTGAGAAAAAACAAGGTTTAATCTGTAGTATTTTTTACTCCTCCAAAAATACCTTGTGTATTACTTGAGCGACTAAACTCTCTCGACGAGGATCCTGCTTAATTTGAATTGTATTTAATTTTAGCTTTGATCTGGACATCTGGTACGGTTCTCAAAAAATGAGCCGATTTTAACTTTCACCACAGCGACGATGATTCCAAAAACCAGTGACCAAATAATTCAGTCTTTAATCAATTCTAGTCAACATAGATAGCTTCAATCGAACATTTTTGACCGCATAAGATCTTATCTAATGGAACTTTCCAGTTTCGCAATTGCTTTATCGACCAATTCCAGTTTTTTTCACTGAAATGGCTCTTTCAATAACTGAGAAACACCTAGGTGTATCTATTACCACAAAATTTGAGAATACTTCACTGTCAATTGATAAAACTGTAAATTCCCCTTCGCTATCGGAAGATACAAAGTTACAGCCTCTTTTCAATTAAATTGGTGTCTACAATTGCTATTTGACGAGAAATTATTCAGGAGATTCCATTACCGCAGAAGTAATACGGTTTGTACTCTTTCAAAATGCTCCCTTTTAGACGGTTCGGATTCGAATATGCCCGATTGATTCAGTCTGAAAGTTTCCTCCTATAGCCTGAAAAATTTGAATCTTACTTCATCCGGAACTTTTGGGATTAATGATGGTTTTATTGGATCTGATTGCTCTAAGATGATAGATTTCCGAGTTGTTTTTGCAACGTAGATGCAGTTTGAACCCCTTTTGCTGTATCAGGACCGACTCAGGCATGTCTTTTGGTACACCTGAACGGATGCCTAAGCCCCTTTAAAGATCATTGAACTGCATCTCAGCGATGAAGAAGTCTCAGAGTACTTCGCCTGGCCATCAAGCAAATAAAAAATTACTCCAGTTTTTCACTCTAGGTATGGACCGCCTTGAACACCTTCATTGATAAAAACTGTTTTCTTTCTTGAGTAGCAATTCACAACTGTCAAAAAATCTTTGAAGGTAATTGCGCTGAGATCCGTGTGCCGAAAATTCTGAAAAAAAACTGGTATTTCCCTCGGTATCTAGGGAGAAAAATAATAGACTCTTCAAAATAATAATCGCCGGGAGCAACCCTATGGCCTTTGACTATCCTTTTGTCCTTTGATTCCTGCGACTTAGGTACAGCTGCAGCATCACGCGCTCACCCATTCACTTGACCTGTAGCATCTTCTGAGACAATGATCCCTCAGGTTTGGGAATAGGATCATCGCGAATTGTACCAGCTGTTTTAACTTTTCTCTTGGGTCACAACCGAAACGTGATCTCTAAGTTGAGATGTCCAGTCCAAGTTTCCCAATTGCTCGGAGGATTTGAAGTTGTTTTAAGCCAACCGTGTGGTACTCTCAACAAATCTGATTGGTCGTCAACCTCAATGAATATTGAATTGAACAATTAAAATTAAGACTTTATTTGTTCTTGAATGCGAAGAATTAAGAATAATAAATTGAACAGTGTCGCCGTGAAAAAATAACAAATATAAATATCAACTTAAATCTTACAGAAGACGACAAAGAGTGATATGGCGCATTTTAGCATCAAAGATAGCATGGCGATTGACATGTCAACAACAACCATGAGAACCAATTGCGTTTCTGCACTAGAGAGAAGGTGACAGAGTTCCTAACAACATAAATAAAGTATCGCGCGTCTACCGCCGCACAACGCAGTCCTTACTAACTCAACACCTCACAAAAAAGTGAAATTTTTTTAAAGCTAATGTTTTTGAAAGAGTACTTGTAAACAGAGCTTTCCGTATTAACTCCCCAGCATCCGGATGTTCTTTTTAGTTTCTGTTGACACCCAGGGGCAGATCTAGGAGATTTGCTAGAGGGGGGCGGCGGATTTTCCAGATTATTTTTTTGAAATTGTGTAGACCTTTTTTTTTAGCTCGTACTAATTTCCAAGCTCTTCCAAATCACTTTAAAGACGCAATTTCCACAAATTTAAAAAACTGACAAAAAATACGTTTTTTTTGGACGATTTGACCAAAAAAGTTGCGTTTTTCGCCACTCGCCCCCTTCAAATTCGTATATATTGGGCAAAAGGCGCCTTTAGAAAAGTTTTAGGGTCACTTAGCTAACAGGGGACCCTTTGCGTGGTTAGGGGGTCGAATCCCGGAAAGAGAGGAAAGGCCGCTCCAAATCCCCCTTCCCCTCTAAATCCGCTAATGCAGACACTTAATGACGTTTTTAAGGTATTTTTACAGCGATGACCTGAGTAAAGATTCTTGCAGATCAACTAAACCTGTCAGTTTTTAGATTGGCAGCCTATGAACTAGCAAGTGGAACTAAGATGAGATTTCAGAATCATTAGGCATGAAATTTGGGCTCATATAACTGAATTAGACGAAAAAGACAATTAATTGCGTAAACTTTTCGGATCTAATTTGAAGAAGATGGTGAAATTTTACCAAAATTGAGTTCCTCGGCAGTTTTTTTTTAAATTTTTCGGCTTCATTTGCCTTAAAGAGTCGGTTAGTTTATGAAGTGAACTGAAGTGTGAATATGAAGACTTACAATTAGGAGCACAGGTGTGCGGCGAGATACCTATAAAGACAGCTCAGTTGAGTTTAACTAGCAACGGCGGGGGAGGTACAATCAATTCGAGAAAGATTTAAGGGGAGTGACTTAAGGTTCGGTGGAAGTTATTCTCATGTCCGAATGATCCGTGGCCATTGTGTGAAATTTCTTTGTTAGTCAAAGACCTTTTAAACGTACGAATATTAATGACTTTCAAGCTGATTCTTTCGAGTTTTATATGGCTAAAATATACCTTATATCTTTCGGGTACGAGTGATTCCTGCCGTGATTTTAACTACCCCCGACGTCATCCCAGAAGTCTTTTTTATTGTCCATATTTGGTTGTTAATTGTAAATTGAAGGGAAACTTGGCATTTATGATGGTAGGAAAGGCTGGTTAACAATTTCCTCTGGAATCCTAAATTTGCCCCTTTATCGATGTTTGATAGGGCTTCGAAAACGAGTTGTTGATGGTTTTATTAGTTTGTCATAAGTTTACAAAGAACTAAACATAGACCGGGATGACCAAAAAGTTCCATATTTCTAATCAAGAGCGAAGGTGACACGCCAAATATTTCGAACAGCAAGCGAATTCTGCTTAAGAAAGTTTTCAGAAACAAAATTTTTTCATTCCCTTGAAACAGATGTCTGAAATTGGGCTGCAAAATTGGCAAAAAAACCTGATTAAAAATCACAAGCGATTAAATCTTTGTGAAAGGAAAAATTGGATAATATATCAATTTTTTTTACGTCAGATCAGGGGCGGATCTAGGATTTTCTCGAAGGGGGAGGATTTTCAAAAAAAGTGTTCGAAAATTTTGTCGACCTTTTTTGAATTTTGAAAATTCTGAAAAAACAGTCCAAAAAAGGCGTTTTTAGGCACTTTTTGAAAAATGTTGACCAAAAAATCGCGTTTTTCGGCGGGCGTTCCCCCCTCAAAATTAGTATAGATTGGCGCAAAAGCCGCCTTTAGAAAAATTTTCGGGTCAATCAGCCACAAATTAATATCTCAAAATAGTACAAAAGGGGGACCCTTTGGGTCGGCAGGGGGTCGAATCCCTTAAGGGTCACCCCCTTAATCCGCTACCGCGTCAGATACTTGCTAGTAGAATTCAAAGACCAATTGATTGTTCTACGCCTTAAGAATATAAGTACTCATTTAATAAAGGAAAATTTTATAGTTTGAAAAATAAGTTTGAAAAATTATTGTGCATTAGATTGCAGCTGAATTATTTTGAGCTTTTGAATTTAAACCCTCGATAATTGTTAATGGTAGAACTCAATTCCATCAAAACATTTGAATTAGAAGGTAGAAGTTCGCTTGGGGCGAAGACCGATTTTTAATTCAAGGCTCAGCATTTTTAAAGCATGATGGATTTTACTAAGGCATCTAATAACTATCGAGTCTTAATATTTAAAGCAAAAGATTTAAAATTATCAAAATGGAATATTTCTAGCGCAGTAGCTTTTTTTTTTAACTCATACGAGGTAAGTTTGGCAAAATCTCGTAACACGGATCAACATTTTCTCGAGGGAGGGCGGATTTTCCAAAAATTTTGGAAAATTTTGACGACCTTTTTTTTTAGGTCGAACAAATTGATTTTCCGAGCTCTCCTCAAAGATTTTCCCCTCAAAGTTAGTATATATTGGCGCCAAAGGCGCCTTTAGAAAAATTTTAGGGTCGGTAGGGCCAAAAATGGCTTTCTTGAAAAGTACCAAAGGGGGGACCCCACCCTTTGGGTCGGCAGGGGGTCGAGTCCCTGAGGGGGGGGGGGGGGGGGGGTGGGGGGGGGGGGGGGGGGGGGGGGGGGGCGTCCGCCCCCCCTATATCCGCCTCTGATTGGTCCCCACGTCAGTCTTCGTTTCCAGGCGAACTGTTGAATGCGCCCTTTTTTAGAAAGACGAGCTGAATGAGCCCAATTTTTAAGAAGCTGAGATGAAAGGATTCCATTTGCAGCAATTTGGTCCTAATTATTGGTCCCCATTGTTTTGGTATCAGGGCTTGTAGACCTTAATTTGACATGAGGGATGAATAAGCCAGAACAATATAAAGAAGAGCTGAATGGGCTCTATTTTCATAACAATGGGCTAAAGGAGCCCAATTATCTGAAAATGGCGCCAATATTAGGCTATTTTTCAAAATTTGGATAATAAGTAATTAGAGATCAATTTCAACAAGTTGAGCTGATATTGAGCCCTATTTCTGAAAACTAGCTTATAAATTTGTTAGAGTGGGCTGTCTTTTTAGTATTTTTCTTTGTTGATGATTTTTCGTTATTGACAAAAAATTGCAAATAATTGACAGTCGGACCCAGTGTTGCAAGCTACCTCTCGGGGGCATTGCGTTTCATTTGGTTGCAATTTCGCCAGGGGCAGATCTAGGTTTTTCTCGAGGGGCAGGGCACGGCGGGGCGGATTTTAAAAACATTTCAATTAGAGCTCTCCAAAATTACTATAAAGACCCCATTCCCACCAAATTTTCTGCGCCGCAGGCAAATTATTGAAAAAAGGCCAAAAAAGCGTTTTTAGCCATTTGTGGAAAGTTTTGACCAAAAACCGCGTTTTTTCGGGGCGCGTTCCACCTTCAAAATCAGTATATTTTGGCGCGGAAGGCGCCTTCAGAAAAGTTTTCGATCAGCCAAAAATTAATATCTCAAAATAGTACAAGGGGGACCCTTTGGATCGACAGTGGATCGAATACCTGAAGGGGGGCGTCAGGTGAGTTTTCTTTTGAAAAGTAATGATTAAGCTAACAATTTTGAAAAACATACTCGCTATTATTCGACCTCTTTTACAATGGAATACATGAAAAAAGCAAAACTGTCAGCGAACTGGAAATGCACTACTGTATTTTTTTTCATTAGATTGCTCAACTTCGCGTAGGTTGTCCATATCCAAAAGCAACATATCATGCGGTAATTTTCTTAAAATGGCCACATTAAGTTTTTTCATTATTGGGTTATTTTAGTACCGATTTAATTGTATTGCAATGCTTGTTGTTCCGACTTTCGTACGAAAGTAACGGAAATTTGTGCTCGAGGTGGGTTTTTTTCTTCAGACAATTTTCGACTTTTTAACTAGCCATTTTTGAAGAATTTTTTTATCATTCAAAAGGTACTGTTATCCTGAGCTTAAATTCAAAAAGATATTTCACCTGTGATTATTTTTTGTAAAGTTATTAATGTTTAAAGATTGGCAACTCGATACTATTAACACGCGATATATTTCGCGATAGATCTAACCGTCTTAAAAATCGTTCCAAATTGGTTGAACTAAGCTTATTTGCCATTTTTGAGATGTTTCTAGGTGCGAAATCTATCACTTTGTACTTAATAGGGCATGTGGGGAAATGATTTTTACAAAAAATCTCAAATTTCCTTAATTTAAAATTTTTTTACATTTAAATTTTTTCATGTCATTACTGCTCCAAAGGCTTTAGAAGGTAGTCGGAACATTCAAGGCTTCGCCCTGATACGAGCATTCTTGTTATTGCTTTGAACTTAAATCATTGATATTGTTCAGATAGCAGAGAAAAAGTTTCCTTTGGTGTTTTAAAATAATAAACTCTGTTATTGTTCCGACTTTCGTAACGAAAGTAACGGAATATTTGTGCTCTGGGTGGTTTTATTCTCATCAGACAAATTTTGAATTCTTAACTAAGAATTTGTGATAGATTTTTTTTAAATCAGCCAAAAAAGAATGTTGTGATATTTTACCAGTGTTCTTTTTTCATAAGTTATGAGGGTTTAAAGATTGCCAGTATGGTCAATTTGGGATAGCTAACGCAGTATAGTTCGTCATTAAAATACGTTAACGCAGTATTATTTCGTCATAAAATTCGTTCCAAAATCGTTAAAACCGGCTTTTTGTCATAGTTTCTAAGATACCAGGAACGAAATCTATCACTTTGTATTTTATATTGCGCTGATGTATAAAAAACCCATCATTTTTAAAAGCGAACACTGTTTCTTAGACTCAAAATATACCCAGAACATTCAAAGCTTCGCAGTGATACGAGCAGTCTTGTTTAATTTTATACTCAACAAAAAAAAAACGTAATAAGGACAGCTATTGGATGCTAAAAATTAGACGACCAAAGTATGCAACTGTATGATCAATTTTGTCGGCTCGGGCCTCATTTCTTAAGGTTTTTGACCTAATTGGCTTAACAAAAAAAAGCAATTTTCAGCAACTATCGCACATCTCCAAATTCCCAGAATTGAGTGCTCAAATTACATTTTTTTTTCAAAAAAACTATGGAATAAGCAAGATTTGACCGATGCCGTTAATTTGTTCAAAGTTTCATATGCTGTTTGAATTTAAATATGTTTGAAGACTATTGAAAACGGGTTATTTGGTCTAACGGCTTTCTTTCAAGCTTCAGACAGGGTTATAAATTGTACGAAAGTTAGTGACTTTTTTATTGTAAGCCTGATTTTATTGTAAGCTATGATTATTAAATGCTCTTTTTCGCATTGT